CACTCTGATGTGTGGGGGCCTTACCACTTATTTTCTATGGGGGGCTACAGATATTTCATCCTGTTTATTGATGACTTTTCTAGATTCACTTGGATATACCTAATGAAATCCCGTGATGAAGTCCCAAGACTTGTGAGGCAATTTCATGAGCTTGTTTTAAAACCTGAACCTGAAGTAAAACTCCTCTTGGAACAGTTCCGCTACAGTAACAATGGTAGCAAGTTGGCCTCCTGTGCGGACATGTAGTGATGGAGGGATTGGAAGGTGCCAAAATGGGTCGACTCCTCAAACGAGAGAAAGAACCAAAAGACTCCTCTAGAAACAACCCCCTTCTCTTTTATAAGACCCAATGGCTTGTTGGAGAAGCCAATTAAAATATTTACACATAAACCCCTAAATGTTTCCCTCTCACAAGCAACTCCTTAAGAACAAAACTAACTTCAAATGAACCCCCAAAAGATAACTTTTGTTACAAAAAGATCCAAGAGACCAAAACCTAACAGATATGCACCCAACTGCCCCTGACCAGAATCTCACTTATAAAATGACGAAAATACCCCTGGTCCCAAACTATCAACAAAACTACCAAAAACAGCAATTTGGGATCCTGCTACAAAACATGCAAAACAGAATACATTCACATTTTTTTTTTCAATTTTCTTCTTTTTTTGCCTCATCATTATTAGTATCTTGTTCCCACTTTGCAAACTTAGGGTCTTCAATTTTTGTCTTCACCTCCTTACCTGTAATGAATCATAACTTACCCCTTCCTGTAATAGTAAGTTTAGTTGATTGGGACCATTCCCAAAAGTTGGTCCCAGCAAATTTTGTGGTCGTTATCATGCCACTGGAAACATCAACATTTCTAGGAAACACACTGAAACCCATCCGTACATCCTTTGGTGATTCCATACCTCACAAACAACTATCTCAGCAACCAAGGAGCACCCCCAACACCCAACCAAAATACATACAAACCCAAAGAAAGGGTCAAACACGACTAAAGGCTAGAAAAGGGGCCAAAAAGCTGGCTGGCGGTAAAATAGAGGGAGAAGAAAAACTCCCAAAAATTTTTAATGTCTAGAAAAATACAAGACCACTTCTTATCATTCCCAAAATATAAAACAACCTAGAAGAACCGGGTTTTGCAAAATAAAAACCCTCAAACAAGAGATGCAAGCCTCTAAACCAGATTTGGAATTTCTACGATTTTCCACTTGAAAAATCCCAATAAATCATATAGGCATCAAACCACAATGAGACATATACCAAATTCATCTAAAATCAGAGTGAGTCAAATCCGATGGAGGTCTGACGTCAGCAACTCTCCCTCCGAGCAAAAACCAATAGAGAAAGACTCTCAAGACCTTCTAGTTGCTCTGATACCAAGTTGAAATATCTAGGGTTTTATTGCGAGAGAAAACAAGAAGAGGAGAAGAGAAGAGAGTTATTTTTCACTCTCTCAAACTTAAGATTTTATATTATTGAGAGAAATTACAAGTAAGCCCTCATAAGGGCGCCTAAATACAAAAGACAAAAAAGACAAGAATACCCTTACACCCAAACAATCTCAGCATTATCCATTAATGATCAGGAATAAAAAACCACACAGACTAGCTCATGGCTGGTTTTGAAGCTAGACCTCTTTATACACAAATACACACATGATCTGTTGCAAATACAAGTGTGAAAACCAGGCTACATGACCAATCACGAGTGAACACGCTAGTGTTCCATAAACATGGGAGCCACATTCTGGATTCACCCAATACATCTCTATTACCTTAAAGATCACCCTTTAGAGCTTTTAAAGTGTCCCTATATACTTCTTCCCCAACTAGTGCACCTGAAAACAGAATTAGACCGAGGGCTTCTCCTCCTTGCATCCATCTGATTGCCACTTGAGAGTTTCCTTACCCAAATTAACATGCAGGCCAAAGAATTTGTCAAATGAAGCACCCATATAGGTGATATCGTTTCCACCCTCATTAAGTCCCCTTGCTCAATTAGACCTGAGTAGACAGAAATTGTGACCAGGCCTATTGCTTGGTGTAATGGAAAAATCTCAGGTTGACAAGTACAGGAATGAAGGTCCGAGTTTGAGAGAGGCTACTTTGTGCGAAAAAAATACTAAACTTAGTTTTATATCCATCCCACCCTTCCCAAGACCCCAGCCAGCTGGGACAACGTTAGATAACCTCTAAATTCACCACTTATATCTGATTGGGCTCATATTACCAAAAGAAAACCACCCAAGTTCAGTTTGATGGTGCCAACTAAGGAAGGGTTCAATTCCTCAATCAACAGATCTATTAATTGATGAGTAGGCTACACTATTCAATTCCTGACCCAATTGCATAATACAAATAAATGTCAAGTGTCATCAAGTATCAAACAGCCAGAAATAAAACCTAGAACAAAATTGAGAACCTTTGGTTATTACATAACTGAAGAAAGTGATTCTCATGCTTGATCAGCATCTCCAAAACACATCATCCAAAAAAAAACCAACTCTGACAAATTCATTCTCCATAATCATATACACCATTTAAACAATGGAAAAAGGTAAAATATTAGCACATATATTAGGAAAGAAAGAAAAACTAAATCAAGAAAGAATATGGGCTAGAACCAAAAGTTGGATCCATGAAAGTAAAATACTAAATCAAGGAAATGCAGGTCAATGGAAACACCAAAGCACAGAACAAGTGACCCAACCATCTGAAAGTATAAAGAGAATGAACTGTTGTAGTGATGCAAATCTAATATATATATATATATATATATTAAAGGTCTTCAGACTACAGCCCCCCACCATTCAAACACGTGGCCTTCTCATTTTTTTGGAAATCTAAACACATGGCATTTTTTGAGAAGTTGTTGTTAAAGCCCACAACCCACTACCACCATTCAAACAAGTGGCTTTATCATTTTTTGGAAAGCTAGACACGTGGCAATTTATGAGATATTCTTGCTAATGCCCATAGCCCACTAGCAAGCTACAGCCCCCCACCATTCAGACATGTGGCATTCTCATTTTTCTAGAAAGCTAGACACGTGTCATTTTCTTAGAAGCTGTTGCTAAAGCTTACAACCCACTACCACCATTCAGACACATGGCATCTTATTAATTCAAGAAATAAGATTCAAAAAGTGGGTAGTTTCACTCCTAAACATTCTCAATAGATAGTTATTTATTAGCTTAACACATGTTTACCCAGAATCTATTAAATACAAATGGTGGGAGCCATTAAAAGATTACCATAAACCCACGTTTGTTTTTAAATGATTTTTTCAAAAAGAAAATACTTTATTAATTACAAACTTGATTTAACTTTTAGGAAGCAACCTAATTTAACTTTAAAAATAAATAACTCAAAATAGATTTATTAGATAAATAGTACATACCAGATAAAGTGCGTTATTGTTTACCAATAAGATCTCATTTAATATCTTAAATCAAATTAAAAACACATAAATTAATAGTCGGTTTCAAATAAAATAGGTCAGAATAGATTGCCAATTACAAAGATGTAAGACCCATATTAGTTTTTTTTAATTTAATTTTTGATAACTAAATAGTAAACTTCAAAAACTGATTGTGCATTAAAGTTATGTAAATTACCAGAATTTAGTGTAATTAGAAAATCTATTATAACAACAACACTCAGTAATTAAATACTAAATATTAATAAAAATATAAGAAAATAATAATTACCATTACTAATTAAAAATAATATTAATCTTTAATAAAATAATTAAGTAAATATTACATTTTGATTAATCTTTAAATTTTTACAATAAAAATTTTAATTATAATAATTATTATGATAATAAAATCATTAATTAAATACTTACTAATAACAGTAATAATTAACTAACTAAATATTAAAATACAAATATTATTTAAAAAATAAAGAAATAATAATAATAAGTTAGACCTTTTTTGTTTAAACAAAATAAAAATTATCAAAAAATACTAGCCCCGTACTTAGTACGGGGTCATTCTCTAGTAAACTAACAAATGAAAATATAATCCATCTCTGAAAGACCGAAACCCTATAGAGCTACTAGAAAAATCATCAAAACTAACCAGCTGAATCAGATTCTCTAGGGACTCTTGATGAGGATGACCATTCTCCAAAGTCAACCATCGTCCAGATAACATGCTTCTGACATGATAGAGATAGCGAATGGCGGTACCCCTGTATGATGGAGGTATGACCTTTGGTAGCTCTGTTCGCACCAAATCTGCAGAAGGTGCAAATGTTATAGAGAACAAAATAAACAAAAAAAAGTACTGGCTCAAAATGATGTTAAGGGGCAAAAATGCTTGCTGTAGATAGAGAAAACTTGAGTAAATCTGAAGCGTTTTCCAATCTGTAAGTGCCAATTACGATGCAGCACAATTAATCAAGAATATATCAATCAGAATCTATCTATACCATGAACAGCATTATCCAATGTAACCAAGTCTTTCTGAATGCATCCATAATTTTTTTGATTGGAAATGGTAACTTCATTAAAGATCCTTTTTAGTTTAGAGTACAACTGTCCACTCCTTGTGTAGGGTGTTGATCCAAAAGACAAAATCAAATTACAGCACTACCCAAAACATATTGTCCTTGTCAAATAACATAGAATAGAATAACAAATCAAGGAGAAAACAAAAGAAGAGGAAATAGAGAGAACACCAAGATTTAACATAGTTCAGCTTGGTAGCCTACATCAACGGGAGGAGAGATAAAATATCCACTATGAGAACAAGAGATACATGGCTTCACTCTCACACTCTTCTTCAAACCCTAATCTCACACAACAACTAGCTTAAATAAACAAAAGAGATACATGGCTTCACTCTCACACTCTTTTGTTCACACTTTTTTCTTAATATGATGAATATAATAATATCAAATATGTGCATAAATGTTTACTATAAAATTTCTATATTTTGTATTTTTTGTGTTTTTGTCTTTTTTAAGTATACATTATTTATTTTTTGAAATATTTATTATTTAATTATAACAACATGGGTTGACTCTTTTGACCCAAAAGGGTGGACTGTTGACCCGTCATCTAGACAGGAAAAATGGTTTCATTTTTTGGAAGTTTTCAAACTTCATGTTTCATACACATCAATAATAGAAAGAATTTTTTTTGATAAATCATTAATAGAAAAATTTTTTGTTTATCATATTTATTTTTACTTAATATGATTATGTAATATTACAGATGTACCCAAAAATTTCTATCTTTTGTATTTTTGTATTTTTAAATTTTATTATTTAACTATGACATTATGGGTTACCCCATTTGACCCAAATAGTTGAACCACCGACCTGGTTCTTTTTGCAGCTACAAAGGTTACAGGTTGGGGAAGAATATTGGAGAGCATCACAGAAAAGTTTGTGCTTGAGTGTCCGGTTTCTGTTTTTCCGTTTGAGGAGCGAAGAGATTCATTATAAGATTTTTAGGACTCCCATTTAATCTCTGGGTCAAAGTTTCCCTTGACAGAATAATCAAGACTTTGGGAGGAAATATTATTAAATACAATATTTCAGATCTAAAGGCGGTGAAGGTTCAAGTTTCGGGGTTGAAGCCGAGTGATGTTCCTCGAGTCATTGATCTCTTTTCCGACGACTTATGGTTAAAAGTCTGGTGTTTGACAAAATTTGAAACGTCTTTGTGGAGGAAGAGTTCAAAGGTTGAAGTAGGATGGGTGACACATGGAAAAGGAAGGTTGGGGGAAGTGGAAAGGTTGCAGGGGCAAGCATTTTTGGTATCTGAAAGGTTGCACTTTAAGGATTGTTTGGGGTCTATACTCGAAAGTGAAGATGTTTCAAATGGTCTTGATATTCGAGAAAGGGAGAGGGGTAGTAATTCGAATATTGATGAATCCCATGGAGGGTCCACATCAGACTCGAGTATGGGCCCAATTAATAACAAAAACATAAAGTGGCATTTTGGGTCTAGGAGTTCTAATGTGAGAAGAAAGAACAATTCTTTGAACCAGGCCGGGTTGACGTTTTGAATAAGAGGGGACCACGTGAGGGTTTAAGTGGTCAGGTGCATCGAGGACCTAACTCATTTAGTAGGCCCTTAGAGGATGGTAACATTCGTTTACTGTCTTCCCTAGTCGTTAGCTCTGAGAATCTTATTTTGAAGAAAGTGGGCAAAAAAAAGCAAGTTTTCCATCAAATTCGGTCAGAGGCGATGTAGTTTCATCCTAAGGGTGGGTGGGCAGGAACAAGCAGCTAAGAGCGAAAAAGGCAATAAGTTTTAAAAACTGATTTCCTCACCCTGTTAAAATAAAAAAGAAGAGACTTGGGAGTGGGTGATCACTAAGTTTGTTCATTCAGGCGATTTGTGCGAATCTAGGACCTTGGAGACTGAGGTAATGCCAGAGAAGTTTGACTCCCAAGAAACCTTAGTGGCTACTCAAACCAACATTTCACAAGGAAGGGCAATGGACAGGACTAGAACAGTTTCTCTTGAGAAAGGTTCTCATAGTGGCGAGCAACTTCTGTTAGTTAGAGAGGGGGTGAACCAACTTCACAAGCTTAGTAGTAAGGGGAGCGTGGAAGACATTTTGGAGAGAGCAGAGGTGGGAGAAAATGAGGAAGGCAATAAAATGAAAAGTTCTAACTTCAATGGTACATATAGATGCTTTTGTCCCATTGTTACTGATAACAGGGAATTGAGCATGAAGTTGGAGACTCAAAATGCCAGGGCCAAAGATGGAGTAGGGGTTGAGGAGGAGATGGAGTAGGGCCTAAAAAAGCAGACATGAGGAGACCAGAAACCAAATCGATTGCTACGAGGATGTTCGGCAATATGAGGAGGTGACGATTGGAAAGTTGGGTGTCAATTTGGGTAGAAAGAGCAATCCTGAAGTGGAGGGGGATCAAACCAATGAAATAACAAGAAAGAAAGTGCCTAGTTTGAGAAATCATAATGTTGTGCATGTGACCAAGATTTTCGCTAGGCTAAAATTGGGCCTGACAGGAGCAGGCCCTACAAAACATTTCAAATGGGTATATAGGAGAAAAAGATTAAGAGATGTTTCTACCTAGAATTGGCCAGGGGCAACACTGTCAATTTTCTTCCGAGCCGAGGCGAGGATGAGTCATTTGAGGCTTGGATGGGCTGAAGGCTGGTAGGCCCGTCCTACGAGGAGTGACAAAGGAAAAGCATCAGAGGCCTCGGGTGAGTACCCAAGGCAGAGACTACGACGGTCAAGTTAGTCCAAGGTAGTATGAGGTGGATGAGGCCTGAGACTGAAGCACTTAGATGAGGTCACAAGTAGTCTAAGAGTCCTTAGATCTGTGTTCTAGTATCCAAGATGTTTACCTTGAGGGGGTTGCCCCCAATTTATACTTGAGCTTCTTGGAGGTAGGTGTGCTCGGACAGTCCATATGCAGTCCGTACGCGAGGAGCGCGGTCACCCGAGATCGCCAAGTGACCCCGCACTATTGGTTCTGGAATGCATGCTGAGCTCTGCTCTGTGCGTGCCTTGATTGGGTCCACTCTGAATGCTGCTGTTGCATACGTGGTGTCGTCCCATTGGTTCGGGCCAGGTGCGCCTACATCAAGAGATAATGGGATGCATGGTATGGATCATTGGGGGACATTGAGACGGTCTCAGTCATTAGCCTCCCTGGAGCCGAAGGAGCATCAGGAAAACACTTCGCGTGGAGGTGATCTCGATTCTGAGGTGAGGCAGACAATGCAAAAGGATAATAGTAATGATAAGGAATTAGGTCAAGGAGCCCTCCAAAAAATAGTGGACAAAGATGTTGCAATTGGGAAGAGCCTAGGTCTGTTTTATTAGGGTGGCGAGGAGTTTGCTAGAAAGGCTTTTGAGGAGTTTGAGTAGTAGTAGTAGCAATATATATTATACATGAAGTAAGAGATTTTTATAGGGAAGTCAAATAAGAAAGAATAATAAAAATCAACCTGACATACAAGCTTCATAGAAAAAAGTATTCCAGGTTCAACTACATAACCAAGGAATTTCCAAAGAATTTGTAGGATTGGACCTGGAACTCAAGGATATTCAAAAACATAAAATAAAAGCTACAGGATGCCAGGATAGGTATAAATATATTGATAAATAGCTGAGGTGCATAGTGGCACATTTAACTTACATGTTTTAGTGCTACCAAAGGACACAATCTGGTTTGAAATGAGGGATGGCGTTGAGCAGTCCAGGAAAACCTGTTCACCTGCAGAATGTTAAGTAATGGAATGAATCCTTGTAAGTATATGAAAAGAATCTATATTAGCCCGTTTTTTCCCCAAATAAACATTGATGCATCAATTAATTAAAATTTCTATTTATTTGATTGCTATTGTAGCTTTATGCAGAAAAGGTTTCAGAAATAAAGTAGAAGTTCCATATTTATTCAATAGAATTGGACCCAAGCTTCTGATTTGTTGTAATCCTGAAGTCTTAGCAAGAGTCAAATGGGAAAGGTTGTTTAATCATGCAATAATTTCATTACTAGTGTCTGTTGAAATGACATGCTTATAAAGGAATATGATTTAGATCTGATCTAATTCAAATCAGAGTTTATGCCAGACCATTTATTAACCAGATTGAATTTGGATTTACCTAATTCAATCCATTAGGAACCAATCCCATTCAATTATGTGTATGCATCTGAGTTTGATTAAACTTTTATGGGACAAAATGGGCATTAGGGATTTCACTAGAACAATGGCCTGAGATAGTAAAATAAGGTCTATTAGGGATTTGAGGGAAAAGGATTAAACAATCTAATCCTTACAGCATTTGGCCTTTCTTCCGACTTTCAAATAAGGTGTAAGAGGCAGCTATCTCTCTTAGCTGCAAATATTCTTCATCTTGAATGCACCTAATGCAGAAATTAGATGATTATCAAAAAGGGCAAGACAACTTGAAAAGCAAACACAACCACTTTCATGAATGCTTGACCATGAATCTTCTACCAGAATACCAGATAGAGAAGCAGTTGCAATCTCTATTCTCTACCTTCTCATAACCTCAATGCATAGTTTCTTTTTGGTTTTGTCATGGAAATTGGAAGTAATTCAATAAAGAATGAAAAATGAAAGATCTTTTCATCAATTTTCCCATTGATCTAACAATCATGATGAATTTAGTTATTTTTTCTATGAGTTCTCATACTTTGTAATATTAATGATGGATCCCTCCGTAATTGTACATGTAATATTGTGACTCTCTTTACTTTTTGTTTTTCATTCTTTATGAGTAATGGTGAATTTCTATTAAATGTGGTAAAGAATGATATCTACAAGTGTCTGAGGCTCTTAGCTCCTAAAAGTAGTTAAGCTAGTATACTCTACCTAACCCCTCCTTTTTTTCAACTTAGAAATTTTCCTTTCCCCTTTTACAAGAAAAGAAATACATCATCATCCCCACAAAGAACTGAACCCTATTAACCCCTTGTCTTGTGGCTCTTGCCATTGGATCTGCCACCACATTTTCTGCTCTATTTGTCCAAGACCATGTGATCACTCTAGCAAGTTCTTTTGTCTGTCATAAAGTATGCCAGTGCTGCCAAGTCCCCAAGGAATCATTCCTTAACAAACCCACCCACCACATTTTGGATTCACCTTCAAGCTCAACAATTCGCAAGTTCTATATTTTGCATAATGTTAATCCTTGGAGTAGAGACAGTAATTCTGCTCTTGTGGAATCTCCTTCCACTATGAGTCCAGAGCAAATAGCAAGGAAGTAACCACAATTGTTTTTCAAGATTCCAATACCCGAAGGTCCTGGATTCCTAATTTTTGGCTTGGTGAGACCCAAACAATACTTGTATTGATAAGAAGAGAAATTTCTTAGGTACTCACCCAATTTGTAACTTTGCAGAAGATATTATAAAAATATAGTTTCTTTGGTAGTTCCCCTGCCCTTGAAGATCCATCCATTTCTTTCTTCCCAAATAGACTATAGGGTATCAGTTCTTGCACATCCCCATAGTATTTTCCTCCTTTTCGTTTGTGGCTGAAAAAAGGAACTACTAAATAGCACTTCAAAGGAAATGCAGACTCCCCACTAGCATCACAAAGGAAACATTTATGAGGTGATAAAATCCCAATCAGGTCTCCTCATGTACAAAGTCTCATAAGAATTGATCTTCAAATATAAAACTTTCCAACAGAAAACTCTGATTTTGGGTGGAATAGGTCCATTCGAAGGGAATTTGATAAGAAAGCCAACCAAACCAGATCCATTGTATGTTAGAGATTTAAAGAAAGAAGCACACAAAGAATACCCCAGGAGAGTTTTTTTTTTATTTGATCAATAACAGAATTCAATATTATTAAAAAAAATCAAGAATACATACAAAATTTCAGGGAGAGATAAAATGACTTAACTCTCCCCCAAATAACAAGAAAATTACAGAATTGCCCAAAACAATTGACTCCTACCCACCCCCTGTTTGGACAAGTTATCAGCAAAGGCATTTGCAATTCTTTTCACCCAATGAACCTGGATTTCCACTCCCCTCAGCAGCCACTTAACCTCTCTTCTCTCATTAGCATAGATCCAAAAGCCATTACCCTTCCTTAACCAATTTAACACTAGCCATGAGTCTCCTTCAATAACCAATTTTTGGATAATATTATATTTATTCACAGTTTCACACAGCTGCATCTTGCTTCCATGGATCCTTCACTTGCGCTCTCAGCACTGAAGATTACAGCCCAACTTTATCTGAAGTCAATCTCAGTGAACTGAACACAAGCACTCAACTCATGGATAAAAAACTTCCGACGACAACAGTAGCGACCGGTGTGAAGACTTTCGATCTGGAAACTCTTTCAGAGGGACATAGCTTGATAGAGGTGACGGAAAGAAGCAGAGGAGCTTGGACAAGATTGACTTTAACTCTCGAAGAGGTGAAGTGGTAGAGAAATTTCATTCAAAAGGCAATCAGAGATACGAATCAAAACCTCAGGGAATAATATCGAACTGAACAGGGCAGAACCCTCCTCATTCAGACCCAAGAGAACAAGTGGAGAAGGTTCATCCGCTTGAGCAGTTTGGAAAAAAACCTTAAATGGAAAAACATTTGTTTACCTGAAAAGCCTTCTAGCGGAGGTTGGACGAGATTTGAAAGTGTGCTGAACCTCCTCTCCCCTCCAAAGGAATATCCCGCCCATCCTGACCTCTCTATAAATTTTTTCCCTCAGCTTCAGAAGAAAAGCAAAGTTATATAGACAGGAGGGTCTGCTTTCATTTCAGTGATTCACCAAGATAAGCCCTTCGGTTTGTGGAAGCAAGCCTTCGTTTGCACCAAGCATGAAGCTCTTTCTTGGAGGGAAGTGATGCTAGGTCTCTCGGCCAATCTTCACTCTCATGAGCTAGTAAATCTCCACCCCATCGATGCTGATAGAGCGGTGGAGAAGCCGCGGAGTTCATGCGATTCCCCGCTCCGTTCCTCTGTTAGAGCGCGGAGTCTGGTTCTACCTCTCAGTCGAAGTGGAGAAGACGACCGAGTCTCCTCCCTAACCCGCCGAGTCAACTCACCTCCCCCTTCCCAAAATAGGAGCTGAAGACTCTGCAGGAACAAAAAGCTTTCCGGGGTTCTTTCGTAAGCTAGAAGGAAGGAAACCAGCAGAAAAAGCCCTTTTGGAGAAACCTAAAGAGTTACCTAAAAAAGCTTCTTCTGGGCTCTATAAAAAAAGGAGCCAAAAAAGCAAGGCGGGCCAACCCCCTCTCGACTTGAATTTTCAAAATTCAATTTTGAACCAGAATCTGGGCTGGCCCCCAAACAGGCCTCATTTAACGGACCCATATCAGAAATAAGTGCTGGACCGAACCTCCCCCAAAGCCCATCTGTCAAGATCGAGAGAAGTTCTGCCAGGCCCAAGCCCACCTGAGACCTCTTCCTCTCTCACCGAGCCAATGCCTGAAACTCCCCCAAGTTCAGGAAAACATAACAGGGAGGTTTTCAGGCCTCCTTCATCTCCAGAAGAAGAGCCAAGCTCATCCTCTCCACTCGAGGCAGACAAATCCGAATCTGAAGAAGAGGCAAGTCCCTACAAAACAGAGACTGAACCAGACCCCAGGGAGGTGGCGTTCTCAAGGGCTAAAGCTCTGTTTTCTGGAAAGGAAGCATGGGGCATCATGGATATCCTCGAACAGACACTCCTCGTTCACCCTGAATATGGAACAGATTGTGAACCAGCAAGCCTAGAGAGAGATGGAAGACGAGAATCTAGCCTTCGAACCAGAGTTTCTTTTTCTCCCTCCCATACCCCGCTTGTCTTTCATTCTTTGCCGTCTCCAAATCTGGGCTCATTTTACTTCTTCCCTTTGTGTTTCAGGTTTGAACGGAGACCTCTCCCAACCATGCATTAACCCAAGAACCCACAAAAAGTCAGAGGAAAGGCAGCTCAGTTCTGATAGACACAGACGGGACAACAACCCGGGAAGAGAAGTTACCAAAATGGCCAGGAAATTGGGGATAAGCAAAGAAAAGGGACAGGACTCAAAAAAGGGGGAAGAAGCAGATCAGAAGGCTGAATTTGTGACCATTGGCAAAAGGACCTCAAAAAGGGAGTTAAGAAGACTTCAATGGGGAATGTCAGATCAAAAAACAACAAGGCCTAGGGCGGTTAAGGGAAAATCAGCAATAGCAGCTCAATGAAATTATTAAGCCGGAATGTCAGAGGGTTGGAAGGCCAACTAAAAAGATGTCTGGTAAAGGAAACCCTGAGAAGAGAAAAACCAGATATTGTCATCCTTCAAGAAACAAAAAAAAAAAAGAAGTGGATAGGAAGCTTCTGAGAGCAATTTGGGGAATCCGTGGCAAGAAATGGGTCTTTCTTCCAGCTTTAGGTGCCTCAGGGGGAATTATCCTAGCATGGAGTGAAGAGGAGGTTTCTGGTACTGAAATAGACAGAGGAGAGTACTCAATCTCTGTCCTTTTCACCAATAAGTCTGATGGATTTAGTTGGATTCTGACAGGAGTATATGGGTCTAATGCACCTTCAGACAGGCAAAGTTTTTGGGAGGAATTGGATGCTCTCCACGAGTTTGACGGAATCCCTTGGGTTCTAGGAGGTGAATTTAACGTAACAAGGTTCCCTCAAGAAAACTCCAACAGAAGAACTACAACTAGAAGCATGAGAGGATTCTCCAGTTTTATATCGAGGTACAACCTCTATGACCTTCCTCTCCACAACGGACAGTTCACTTGGTCAAACCTTCAAGAGAATCCAATAAGCTGCAGACTAGATAGGTTTCTGGTTTCCTCGGACTGGGCAGAGAAATTTCCAAATCTCCTCCAAGAAATCAGACTTCCCTGTACTTCAGACCACTGGCCTCTAGTCTTGAGAACAGATCTGCCTTTGAAAGGAAAACACCCATTCAGATTGGAGAAGATGTGGACTCATCACAAAGATTTCCTGAAAAATGTAGCTTTATGGTGGAAGGAATGTAAAGCTGAAGGTTGGGCAGGGTACAGATTGCTGCAAAAGCTGAAATTCTTGAAAAGAAAACTGAAGTACTGGGTGAGAGAAGAGTTCAAATCATTCACAGAAGAAAAGAATGCCATCCTCATGGAGCTGGAAGAGTTGGACAAAAAAGAGCAATCAGGAGACCTGGATGGAGAAGGAAGAAGCAGGAGAGATGCTCTAAGGAGTTCGTGGGAAAAGGCAATCTGAAAAGAAGAAATTTTTTGGAGGCAAAGGTCAAGGGTCAGATGGTTAAAGGAAGGAGACAACAACACAAAATTCTTCCACAGCTATGCATCAGGTAGGCGCAGAAAGAATCTTATCTCAAAAATTAAGGTGGACCATAGGGAAGTAGAGATGTAGAGATCACTGAGACTTTTCTAAACCACTTCAAATCTCTTTACTCCAAGGAAAGGGCTAGGTGCTTTAACTTAAGAAACTGGGAAGGGCCGACTCTAGCAGAAGACAAGAGAATTTGGCTTGAAAGGGAATTTGAAGAGCAAGAAATTAGAGAAGCAGCCTTTGATATGGATGGAGATAGAGCACCTGGGCCTGATGGGTTCCCGATCTTCTTCTTCCTGATCTGTTGGGAGGTAGTAAGAGAGGACCTTCTGGAGGTCTTTAAAGAATTCCACTCCACGGGGGTGGTCAATAAAGGAATTAACTCCACTTTCATATGCCTCATTCCAAAGAAAAATGGTATCTTGGAAGTAAAAGACTACAGGCCAATAAGTCTAGTAGGGAGTGTGTACAAAATAATGGCAAAGGTGTTCTGCAAAACGACTCAGAGAAGTCCTAAAAGAGTTCGTTTCGCAAACCCAGTTTGCTTTTGTGAAAGGAAGACAGATTGTAGATGGCATCCTAATTGCAAATGAAGCCATAGAAGAGAGAAGGAAGAGTGGAAGAAAGGGCCTTCTAGTGAAACTAGACCTTGAAAAAGCTTATGATATGGTTGATTGGGATTGCCTGCTCCAGATTCTAAACTTGAAGGGTTTTGGTTCAAAATGGCTGCAGAGGATGAAAGGCTGTATTAGTTCTACCTGGTTCTCGATCATGATCAATGGAGAGCCTAAAGGTTATTTTAAGGCCAGCAGGGGTCTACGGCAGGGGTGTCCCCTCTCCTTGTTCCTCTTTACAATGGTAATGGATGTTTTCAGCCAGCTTATGGAGAAAGCTAAAAACCTCAATTTAATCAAAGGTTTTGAGGTCGGAAGAGATGCCATAAATGTTTCCCACCTCCTCTTTGCTGATGATGTCATCTTATTCTTAGAAGCCAATTTGGAGAACATCTCAAATGTGAAAAGAGTGCTCCAGTGTTTTGAACTAGTATTAGGGCTGAACTGCTTAAGGTAAATTACTCTAAGAGCAGCCTAGCAGCAATAAACCAAATTGAAGAGTCCCTGATGGAAAGTTTCAAGGAAACTCTGAATTGTCGAGTGGAAAATCTCCCCCTTTCTTATTTGGGCATGCCACTAGGAGGTAACCCAAAAAATTCAAGCTTTTGGGAACCTGTGGTGGAAAAGTGTGAAAAGAAGTTAGCTACTTGGAAAAGCTGCTACCTATCAAAAGGGGG